ACAAACTCATGAGCCAAAGAGAAGACAATAAACCAGTTTATGAGCCAAAGACAATGCATCAGGTAATATCATAATGCTTACTTATATTGGTAAGCTCTGAGTCCAAAAGTAGGGAAGCTGTTAAACCCACAATTTTCACCTGCAGTAAAGAACCATTGGAAGAAACCCCAAAAGAAGCTGAAGGAGAAGAATTTCCCCAAGACTCGGACTTGTTTCCTGATACAGAGAGCACAAGCCAATAAGCAGAGACCTCGAATTGTATGTTAAGCTACGAAAGCGAAAGTCTCATACTTGGCTAGCTTTGCCCCTTGAGGAGTATGAAAACTGTTGATAAGATGAGCAGTTGCAGTGCCACTAGGGTATGGTAGTTTGAAGTCTATTATCATTATCTGCAAACACAAATTGGTAACTGTAAGACTGCATCAGTTGCTCAATGGCTCTTTGGTGTTTCCACAGGAGAAGAAGAAGCAGAATCAAAACCTTTCTAAGAGGAACAACAGAGAAAAGGCCAAGAAAGCTGACAACAAAGAGGAAAGCTATAATCCAACCCAATGAAGGATCCTTAACGCCTCGTTGAGCGTCTCCTGATTGGTCAGCTATTCGTTGGCTCATTGCAAATAGGTAAGTCCCAAATCCTCCTGTTGCAATATAATTTAGTAAAACAAACCAGAAAAGAGAAAGAATAAGGGTCAGGTGAATTATGTGTGAAGGAAGAAGACCTCAAAGATTTTGTCTTTTTATAAGATAAAGTCAGAAATCAAGAAAAAAAACACCAATCTTGATTCAAAATTTGAGTTCTTTTAGAATGGGTTCTTGTTTCTATTACCGCTAAAGGCAATTCCTGAGGAAGCAACAACACAAGTCTGAATAACGGTGTTCTCTTGTCTGGTAAAAGGTTGTTTCAAAAGACCAGATTTATGAAGCATCTTAGTCCATGTCTTGACGAAGAAGAACCCCAAAAGACCAGCAGAGACATTAAGCGAAGGAATGATTCCTGTTGTGAGGTTAAGCTTCATCACAATGAAGCTAAACAAAATGCTTAGCGCAAAGCTAACCACAAAAGCCCTAATTGTTAACTGATTCTTCCACGAAGGAACCTCTCTGCTTTCGAATATTCCCTCCACAGATTCTTCCTGTTCCTCTCCATCTTCTTCCTCTTCTTCTCTTTGATATTGTCTAGCACTCTTGTTCCTCTTAAGCCTCTCTATGTCAGGACTCATCCTAGTTTCTTGCAACTCATGTTCCTCAATCTGACGATCTCTGTCAGGAGTTAAAGATCCCTTTCTCATGGTTGTCTCTTTAGATCTGCGAAATGAGAGAGATGGTGAACAAGAAGAAGAAGAGAAGTAATATTGTAATAAGGGACAAAAGAAGATTTTTCAGAGAGAGTCAACAAAAACTAAAGTCTCTCTCATCAGACAATAGTATAGTTTAACTACTTTTCACTTTTTTTCTTTTTTTTACTCAAGAGGCTCTTGTTTGTCGCTATCTGTGACTCATTTCTCAGAGATTGCCATTTGTTTTTGGCTTTTTAAATCTTATTAAACTTCTCCATATATGGATTTAATTACTATACACTGTTTTAAAATTTGATATTGTCCATATATGTAGTTTTCTGTGCATACCACCAAGTCTAGTGAAAAAAAAAAACTTACATCTTTCTCTTAAATGAAGTTTGGAAAATTTTCTATTGTCAAAAAAATTCAATAAAGAATAAATGAGGATATAATATAAAAATTAATAAGAATCCAGCCACAATTCACAATTAAATATTTAAATTGATTATATTAATAAAAATTCAGTTTTTTTGGGTAAAATTTGAAACTAAAAAGAGATATTTTGATATTAATATTGGAAAAATTACATTGCAAGTTTTTTTTAACATCTGCAAATTACATTGCAAGTTTTTTAGGATGTATCCACATATAATAGTATGAATAAATTCAATATAATTAATTAAATGTCAAATCATGTTACATAATCTATAATAATTAATAACTAGAATGTCATCTAGTATTAAATTATAAAAACTAGATCATGACCCGTGCTATACAGCACGGGATTTAATATTTTTCATGAATTAAATTGTATATTTTGTTCGAAGAAATAAGGAATAATTTAGTATAATAGTATAATATAAAAGGGAATATATCATAATATTTTATATTTATTACTATTTGGATATAATGTTATATATTTTATTTGACTAAAGAAGGAGAGAATATTGTATTTTAGAATTTAATATATTTAGCAGCATTAGATTTGTATTTTTTTATATGAGATTAATAATTTCTTTGGTTCAATTAGGAATTGATAATTTTATTGTGTAATTGTGAACAAACAAAAAAATAGTTGTATTGGGTCTAAGTTTTTTAATGGATTATATTGGGTTTGTGGGGTCTAGTTTCATGGTTTAAAAAAAAGGAAAAAAAACGGTTTAACATACCTTTGGAATTTGCTGATCTGTTCCTATTTGATGTCTGCTTGAATTTTGTTACCCTGTAATTAAAATAAGATGACTTAACACTTACGGCACATATATTACAAAGAGAATTGTATAAAATTTCAATGGTACTTACAGGCTCATCTTTCAAAATCATTTCCAAAGATATGCCAGAACCTTTTGTAAAATGAATCCACGAATGAAATATACTAACTTGAATACAGCAAAAAGTCTTGACATGCTTCAAATTGTTAATAGGAGTGTAGGGACTAACCATAGCCATTTCTGCTGTATTTTTAATTGTAGGATATGAGAATAGTGCTGAGATGATTTCTGTGAGAAAGGTACGTCAAGCCTAAATGGATATTTATAGTTGTAGATTGTTTGTGATAATTAGGAGATTCAGAAATATATTAATTAACATAAAATAGTTAGATAATATTTTAGAAAGGTATATTCTAGATTATTTGGAATATAGGATCAAAATTATATAACAGAGAGATTTGACAATCTTTAGAAAAGATTTTAAGGAAACTGAATAGCTGATTATATTGATGCGTGATTAAACTAAACAAAAAACGTAAAACTAAACAAAAAACGATCTAGAATATAACAACTATTATAACTTATTTTTTTTTATAAAGGGTTTTAAGGAAACTGAATATATTCTCAAAGATTTTAGGAAAACTGAATATATTCTCAAAGATTACGAATTGCTTGAATACAAATTTATATCTAAACAAAATATAACAACCTAATATCTTTAAGATCTTTAAACCAGTTTTTCGTTATTTGACCCGTTTTTTAATTAATTTGTTAATGTTAGTGACATAGAATTAAAATGATTATGATTAGAGATATCTAATGGCATATATTATAATTTCTTACAAAATTAACGTTACGACTGATAGGATGTACTTCCCAAATAATAGTATAGGATTTGCCTTATTAGTTTGAATTGATTTTATTATTTACGAAATCTCCCTAATTAATTAATTACAAAATTATGTGATTATATTGTTTAGATAGTATAATTAAACCCGTCTGATGACCCAATGACCCGCGTAATTAAAAAATGAATATACTACCTAGACAATATAATCAACTGAAGTCAGAAACAAAGATTTAGGAAACTGAAAATATTGTATTGTTTAGCTTAATCAAAAACAATGAAATTGATGATAACAGATGTTTAGGAAACTGAAAATATTGTCAAATATGATAACAGATGTTTAGGAAACTGAAAATATTGTCAAAGATGATAACAGATGTTTAGGAAACTGAAAATATTGTCAAAGATTACGAATTGTAGTTGAAAATAAATTTTGTTTAGTTATAAGAACGTAGACACATTTTCAATTTTTAGTAACATTTTTAAAAAATGAAGAATTATATAACATTTTCAATTTATATAACATTTTCGAACTATATGAGTATTATAATTCAAAATAGCATTTTTTATTTTTTATAAATTGGATTGATATAAAATGTTTTCAATGATATATCATTTTCATTAACATTTTCAATGACATTTTTTATAAGATGTTCGAATAATGGATTACTATATAACAAATTGAATAACATTTTTAATTTTCAATAACATTTTCGAATAATATATTAGTATATTAGTATATAACATTTTTATATATTATATAAACAAAATCTTTTATGTATTATATAACATTTTTATGTATTATATAATCTCGAATATTGATTGGTATATAATATTCTCGAATTATATTAATTATGTATTATATAAACAAAATCTTTTAATATCTTTAAACCTGTTGACCCGTTGACCCGTTAATATATATTAGTGACATGGAATAAATTTTATGATTAGAATTATATAATGGCATATATTGTAATTTCTTACAAAATTTAAGTTATGATCCTTAGGATGTACTTCCCAAACATTATATTTTGTGCTAATGTTTAACATAAACCCTAATGTTGTATCCCTATATATATGTTGTATCTTGTACAATTGATCAATAACATAAAGAACAATGCCCAAAACCCTATTATTTACAACACGAAACTAAATATCTTGAAATGAAAAAATGGTTATATTTATTAACAAAATCTCGATTAATATATGAGAGGTTTTTGGATTCAACAATTTTTTTTTATGACTTGGAAGTTGAAAAAGAAGAATTTAAAAAAAAAAACAGAATATCTATTTTCATACCATTCAATAAGGGGTGAAAAAGTTAAATAAGGGGTTACTGATATTCTATTTTTTTTGTATAAATAAATTTAAATAAGTTAAACAGAATATCTATCTATTTTAAAAATACTCTGAAAAAATAGATTTCAACTTTGTCATTTAGAAAAAAAGACAATCAAAATATAAGGGGTGAAAAATTTAAATAAATAATTGACTAAAAATTAGTTGTTGGCATTTAGGAAAAAAATCAGAAAAGGTACCAAAAACATTTTCTCTTGACTTAGGCCAACCGCCGCCGTTTCACCATGGAGTCTCCGGCAATGTCCAATGACCCGTAATAGTTATGGTTCCTACAATTATGTAGAAAGAATTGGTAAATAAACAATAATTAAATGAAACATTTAATTAAGAGGGTTAGAACAATACTATTACGTACGTGTATACAATACATCACACATAGACCATATTGCATTTGTTTTACTGTAAAAGAAACGCATTGAATCATTCACAATTACGTTTCATAGATTTTTGGTATCAAATTCTCTCATAAAAAATACATGCCTTTGGTTTTACCTTTAAACGGATCATAAAACAGTTTTCAATCGTTCTCCAAACAGCTTCCCATGTTCCTCTGTGTTATATATCAGCCCTTGCGTCTTCATGAACCACCACAATCTCCCTCTTAGATGTTTTACGCTTCACATCAATGTCATAAGTGTAGATAAGTGGAGTTTTTATCTGCAGTGACAAAAGAAAAAATAATATTATTAACTTTATTTTGGCACACAAAACCTTAAATCAAACCGAGTTAGCTTGAAATAACTTCATTTATAGAGAGATAGCTTGTACATAATTTAGGTTTAGCCGACTAATCTAGATATATTTAACTACTAAGATCTTAACAAATATGGTGATTTTGTTATTAAATTTAAAAAACTATCCTTATATATAACTAAATTTATGATTGAAAAAGAAAAATCTTTGATTCCCATAATATACGGAATTATAAGTTGCAAGATTCATTACGATTTGAATTTTTAAAAATCAAAATTATGTTCAAAAATAAATTTTTGTTTCCTTAACTACAAAATCTTTACGTGGTTAACAATTTTTGAAAGATTTTAGATTTAATAGTTAATGATAACTATATTTTAGGAAAATTCGAATATTTTGTTGACTTTTTAATTGGTGTTTGTTGTAGTTGCTTAATACAGGGGATTTGAATTTGCGTTTTGAATCTATTCGAATAAATATACAATTGTTATGGCAAGTACTAAGATTTAGGATGCTATATTTATTTCTGATTTAGTAAATTAAAAATATCATTTCTATATGTATTTATCTTTGCCAATCTGCGAAGTACACGTAAACAAAATTTTTGAGACAATCCCGATTCAGAGATTTTAGAAATATCTATTAATATATTATCAAATTTAATTAGTTTACATATATACAATTTCGTTTTTTTCTTCCATATATACTAATCATAATTAATTAGTATAGTTTAGTTAAGAAAATATTTTAAAATCTAAACTAAATTTCGTTGTATGATTAAAAATTATTTGTATCTAAACAAAATCCATGTTTGTTATATTCGTGATTGGCTTCCTATATATTAGGTAATCTTTTAATATCTTTAAACCCGTATGACCCATTGACCCGTTTTCTAATGAATTGGTTAATATTAGTGACATGGAATTAAAATTTATATAACATTTTCAATAACATTTTCGAACTATATGATTACTATAATTCAAAATAACTTTTTCTTTATAAATTCGATTTATATAAAAAAATTTCAATGATATATCATTTTCAATAACATTTTCGAATAATGGATTAGTATATAACATTTTCAATAACATTTTTGAATAATTTATTAATAACTTAGAACGTTAATATATGATTACTATAATTCAAAATAACATTTTTTTTTTATAAATTTGAATTATATAACATTTTTTTTGTATAAATTCGGATTATATATAAACAAAATCTCTTTAATATCTTTAAACCCATTTGACCCGTTGACCCGTTGACCCGTTAATATATATTAATGACATGGAATAAAATGATTATAATTAGAATTTTCTAATGGCATATATTGTAATTTCTTACAAAATCAACGTTATGATCCTTAGGATGTACTTCCCAAATATTAGTATAGGATTCAAATTGATTCTGGATTCCATCTCCAAATGGTATATTCCTCTAGAGAAAATGAAGCCAAAATGCCAAAAAGTCTCACAAAAATAAAAGCAAACTAAAGCATAATATAAGATTTATCTACTAAAATGTGAGGACCACCCACACACTTTGTCCAAGTTTACAAATCTCTTTGAAAAGTTTATTGAAGAACAAAATTTAGTCTTCTTTTTATTGGTACAACAAACAAGTCACAACATCTACTTCATCAATCTAACATCAACTATTCTCAGATATCGACCTACACGTGTTTCTAATTTCTATTGTTCACTCGAGAAAAATCAACAACAAATATAAAACAAATCCCTTTTACATAAAGAAAAAATAACAGTGTTCTTTATTGAGAAAAAAAGAAAAGAAAAAAAAAACAGTAACTATCCAACAAATCGTGTGTTCTTGTACAAATCCTTTTAATTTGTATAATTAAGTTTTAGTTAAAGAAGCAGGTCTTACTTTGCAAATCTCAACATTAAAGCCTGAATCCATTAGAAGTAGAAGCCAAGCTCTTTGTTGTTCTGATAACCTATCTTTCTCTGATTTCACTTCCACAAGCTTAGCTTCACCTTCATAACCATTCTCCTTGAACCGCCATAGCAGTAGATCAGGCATTCCACTGCACCAGCTCCTATAGTCTTGAGCTAAATGCCGGCACAGCGATGCTATACACACACCTCCAACACAAGCCACTGCTGCTCTCAGTTCCTCTAACGAAAACCGATCCCAAGCCACTCCCCTGCATGCTGTTCCACGGTGTGTTTCATATGATAAGATTAGTATTTCTTCAGCCATTCCGTTTGCAACTTTTTCGAGCTGAGACTCTATTGTATCTTTCCTGGTTAGATAGAAGGATTCAGTCTCTAAGTCCAATGGAGCAGTCTGCACAAGGGGAATAGAAAAAATCAAATGAGGACTTTTACTTCGTTGAGTGAAACGAGTAGTGAGCTTCACTAACCTGGAATCGGGTTTGGAAAACACCCGGGACATCGGAAAATAGAATGTCCCACATAAGAAGCCCGAAAATCGTTAACCAGATGCTACTCTCTGTATGAATTCCTTGCCATCCTCCTCCTTCTCCACTGTAATGCTGCAATGCAAGCTGCTCGACTCCACATTGTTCTCCGTCTTCTCCATAAAACCTGTTTTTCATGCCAACTTCACAATTCAGTGATCTCCCTTGGATAGTAACCTGAAATGCAAAATTGCACATTTGAGAACAAGGTAGGAAGATGAAAACCTTTATATTTAGATTTTCATTTTGAGTAGAAGAACAACCTCAGGGATCTTGTTTTCGACGAGATTTGAAAAAGTGGGAGTTTTCCAGCGTCTTGGAGGTTTTGCCAAACGAAGAATGCGCCTTTGCAAAGCTACCCTTGAACCAGCACGCACCCAAGGATCCAATAGTCCCTGCTCTGCTACTGTAAGGCTCTCATTTGGACGTCCCATGTGCTCCAAATCCGTTGATAACCTGACTGTCCAGTATCCTCGTCTCCCATCACAATTAAAACAGCTGAGCAATCGCCTCAGTAGATAAACTGCTTGGTTGTACCTGAAACCAGAGAAACAAATCACAACAGGCAAAAAGACAAAGATAATCTGAATAAGTAGAAAAGACGAGATGGATTGTTTTCACATGCCTTTTGTGGTTCTCAAAAAAGGAAACTCCTAAGAGAACCACCTTTGAGTAAACCCATGAAGCTGTAAAGCGATTAAATGCAGCAGCGTGAGCAGAATCCAAAGAAGAACTGGATATGCGGGTTTCAGCAATCATGATGCATTTCAACACTGTCCGAGAATCCTCATTGTCAAGAGACTCATCCATCAACTGAGCCACTTCAATGGCCTGTAATTGAAGCTTTGAGATATTGTAGACAAATCAACCCAGTTCCTTTTTTCAATATAGACAAGTAAACACCTCTTCGTATGCTAAAAGCTTAGTCCGATTCGAAAATATTTGCTCTGAGTCAATGCATTTGTAAGTTGGGTATTTGATAATACCAAGATCCAGCAGAACAAAAGACGATAGATCTTGCTCCCCATTGAGGAAGAAAAGCCTCTGCAGCATAAAACCAAAGTTATTTCATCTCGTCCCGAAATAAAATCGGCTCATTTCTGTACATAGAAAAACAAAAACTTCACCTCAACGCGCCATATGAGAGATTCTGCTGTACTGGATATCTTAGCACATAGTCCTGTTCTTTCTAGAATTATTGTTGCTAGATTTATTCTAAATGTTAAACAAAACAAATCAACCTCAAGGCGAAACAGAAACTGCAACGAAAGGAAAGAAGCTTTATAAATCTAACTATAAAGTAAAACAAACGGACCTCGTTCCATCGTTGTAACAAGAACAAAGTGAATTAATAAGGTCTCTCTTTCTTGAGCCGCAACTGAACACCTGGACCACCAACATATTGCAAGCAAACCAATGAGAGAATGACATACTGTGACATCCAATACTTCCAATAAACAGAGCAAACATCTGTAAGAAAGTGTGGTCTAACCTTGTTAATAGATAAGATATCACGGAGTTCAGTGACGTTAAGCAACTCTGTGATCTCCTTCATCTTTTGGTGATCTAGTTCACTTGCGTCTTTCACTGAACTCATAAATCCCCTGACTGAAAATAATATAGATATTAGCTTTATCAATGCACAGCAAAGTTCAGCAACTAGGAGTGTGTGTGTGTGTCAGTGTGTGAAAGTGTTCAAGCGCATATCATTCACCTGTTAGATCCTTCAGGGCTTGAAGAGAATCAGACACCTCAGGGTATGATATATTTGATAGCCTAAACCAAGGTCCTGAATGAATAGGTATGCAAACATTTCACAAAAGCTCATAAGGTGCATAAGAACTGCAGCTTCAGTAGCAAGAGTGTTTCCGGAGTATTACAATTTCTAACAAAGGTATCTGTAAGAAGCAGACAAGAGTCGTGGCCACCAGAAGTGCAACTACCTCTAAACAAGAAAAGATTAGCGAGGAAGCCAGTTCCAGTTGCCCAAACATTACACCGGAGAACATATATAGCTTTCTACATAACCTAACATCATTCTACCTACTGCCCAAGTGCCCATCAGAACAGTCAATGATCACTGAAAGTTCATTCGAAAGAGACACCAAATTCATTAGGGATGCCCGCATATTTGTTTTCAATTGTTCAACGTAGCTTCACAGCAGTTTGTCTAGTACAATTTACACCATATAGAGAGCAAACAAACAAAATTACAAGGGGTAATGCAAAAAACGAAATGTAATAGAACAGCTACCTTTTCGTGTGTAAAGCCGGATGAAAAGTCTCTGGCTATCCTCAGAAAGAGTGGGGAAAGATTCTGCAAGCCAAAATAAGAAAAGAGAGTATAGAAGTTAAATCATCCATTCCAAAAAATCAAGAAGGAAACCAAACAAAATCTGAAGCAATCATAGGTGAATACCCAAGAATGCCCTTTCATCGGCTGTGAATAGGTGAGAGCAGCTTCTTAGAACCTCTTGTAGTAATACGTTGAAGTTCAACTGGTATCTTGTTGTTTTAGGCGGAAATTGCATCTGATGGTGAACAAGTTGAAGAACTTTCTCCCAAAGAGGTTTAAAATCTCCATAAAATTCACATTCCTTCCAACCATCAGATGTCATCTTGTGAGAAACAACTTTGATCGGAACAGCTTCAGAAGAATTCTTTGGAACAGATGTTATTGTTCCCTGCAAAGAATGTATAGCTACATCATTTGCACCTGACGCTGTACATCTCAACTTTTCAGCTTATATCAGAGCAAGCACAACAAGAAGAAGACATAGAAATCAGTCACCAACCTCAAACTTAAGGTCATAGTCATCGATCAGCGGGGACAAGCACTGGGAGATATCTTTAGGTAGATACCCAAGCATTTCAGAGTCTGCAGAAACAACCTAGTGTGAAAGGACAAATATAATGTCTTCAGCAGCCAGCAAGATAAAGAGGCAAGAATTCACACTCAAGAAGACAATGTTAAAAGAAACGAAAACAAAAACCTTTATAGCATTGCGATCTTTGACATTCTCAGGATGTCTCAAAAGAGAAATGTTACCCCCAATCTCTATATCATGAACATCACTGAACTTCCTACCAACTATAAAGGTTTCAATAGCCTCACCATTGGCTTCATCTAAAGTCACAGTTTTCAAAATCTCCTCACTACTTGGAGAACATGAACCATCTTCAACCTTGCAGCAAATGGAGTCACTTCTTTGCACCAAATTGAATTGAGAAGTTTCAGAATCAAGTATTGGTTGCTGCTGGGTACAGATTACAAGACCATCTTCTAATTGTTTTGGCACTGACCAGAAACTTGACTGAAGAAGAGTGGTCTGAGTCAATCTCCGTTTCTTCCTCGTGGATAGACTCATATCATCTGAGGAAGTTGAGGAATTTGTTAATTTCAAAATCCCTAATGGAGCATGTAGACAAAACAATTGTTAAAACCCACCAGAGAATTTGCTTGGGTCATCTGAAGAAGTCGGATCCTCCGACAAACGACCGTCATCTACGGCTAATGAGATAAGATTGCCATAGTCGTTGACCTCGAGATTCAACGAATTCTAGGGGAAATTGTGATAAAGGATGTTACTTTAATACAATTGGGGGGAAATGGGAGAAATTTGAGGAAAAAGATTGATACCGGAGTAGGAGCGGAGAGAAGAAGTTGGCGATTGGGGAGATATCGCCGGCGTTTTCCAATCAACCGGAGCAAGCTCTCCCGTCCGGTGAGCATTTCTTGCCGATGACGCGGGAAATCTTTAGATTGGCGCTACAATTTTTTTCTTTGCCCTTTTGGTTTACCATTTTAATATTGAGTAATTACGCTATATACCCTAAAACTGAGAAGTATTTAAGTCAAAGGAGAAGTGGCAAACCTGTAAATAAATGATCATCTGAAAACATGATAAAAAGACTAAAATAACCCCAAAATCAAACACTTCCTTATTTCTTCCTTCCTTCTTCGTTTCTCTTTCTTTTTATTATTTATTTTTTTCTTTTTTCTTTTTTCTTTACTTTATGATAACTCCAAATAAATGATTTTTCCTAATTGTGAAACTGATTGCATCTAAAATTATGATATTTTGAATTCATTAAACTAGTCGCATTTTTCTGATTAAAATAAACTCAATAAACCTTAAAAAAATTTCGATATAGAGACATCGTATGTTTGGGTGTCGTTCGTTATTATTGAGCTTCTGTTAGAGATGATTTGAGACACCGTCAACCGACGACGCTAAGAACAAATAACGTTTTTCACTACAGCTACTGGGATTATTGTGGGTTATGCTTATTTCTTGATGACTTCAAGAGCCCAACGTATCAAGATTTCACGCAAATGCATCGATTCGGAATCGTGTTGGTGTTGATCTTGATTTGGAAGATTCTTTGCAGAGTCGTCATAGAGATTGATTGGTTTTTTATGATCCAACATCAGTTTCTGGTTTTTCTAACTATTCTCTTTTTGATTATATATCATGATATATAGTGATATATCGGGAAATACACATGTGTCTTGTCTTACCAGGAAACACATGGTAAGACATTTTCGGAGGCAAAATTCCCGCTATTTATTCCAGGGGTAAATTCGTCCGATTTTTTTGAAACCAAAGATTTCTCTCTCTTGTTTTGCAAAGAATAAAAGTTGTGTATGTACAAGCTAATTATTTCTCAAATAATTAGCATACAGCTAATTGACTCTTTAATATTTTGGTCGGAGATTGTTTTTTCGATATTTGTTTTTCCTTTTTTTTTGTGTTCAAAGGTTTCTCTGTTTTTCACAGGTTAAAAATAAGAAAATTCTCACTCAATTATAATTTATTAATTTTAAAAAATTAATTATAGATAATCTATATATAATAGCAATCTAATAAATATCATTTGCACATCTGAACGGTTGCGTCTTTTTATCGCAACATTTCGTTTAAATTGGTTATTTTTTTACGGTTATTTTAGTTGCGTCTTTTTATCGTAATTTTCGTTTTAATCGGTTATTTTTTAACGGTTATATCGTTTCGAATAAATACCATTTGCACATCTGAACGATTGTGTCTTTTTATGGTAACCTTTTGTTTAAATATTTATGGTTGTTTTCTATATATAATAGCAATCTCAATAAATGTCTTTTGCACATCTGAACGGTTGTGTCTTTTAATCGCAACTTTTCGTTAAAAAAATTTTAAACTAAAATATATATTTTACGGATATGTTTTTTTAGAAAATTGCAATCCGAATGTCTTCATCGGTTGCGTCTTTTTATTGCAACTCTTCATAAACAATTGCAACCTCCTATTTGAATTATTGCAATATTTAGTTTATTTCACGAACGATTGCAACCTTTGATTTATATATTTAGTTTATTTCACGAACAATTGTAACCTTTGGTTTATTTTATAAATTGCTATAACATCTAATTATCTACCGTCGATTACTCGATTATCTCGGTATAACTTTTCATATATTAATATTTTTAATTTTTAATTACCAAAATTTATTTAAATGAGATTATAATCGTTTAATTGAACTGTTGAAACATTTGGTTTATCTGACAAATCATTGCAACTTTTGGTTTTATTTTACGAACCGTTGTAATCTTTAGTTTATTTGACAAACTTGACGAACCGTTGCAACTTTTGATATATCGCAACATGTCATTTTTTTTTTAAACTAAAAAAATCATTTTACGTTATGTGTTTTAAGAAAGTTGCAATCCGAGTAAATATTTTTTTACGGTTGTATCTTTTTTATCGTAACTTTCCATAAAATGGTTGTAATCGTTTAGTTGAACCATTGCAACATTTAGTTTATTTCACGAAAAATTGAAACTTTAAGTTTATTTTATAAATCGTTATAACATTTAATCATCTACCATCGTTATTATTAATTTTTGTTTGATATTTTTTTAAAGATTTTTGAAATATTTTCCCCCGCGACATCGCGGGGGTCCGGAGTCCTAGTAATAATAATAATAATAATAATAATAATAATAATAATAGTAACCACAAATAAATTATTCGATTTAAAACAAATCTAAACCAAATCCCAAAACATCACCTCCCCTCTCATGCCCAAAAGTAATAATTAGTTGATCTCCATGATCTCCATCCAAAATGGTAAAAATGCATTGAAACCAGAAATCAAGTCTCGGTCTCCGTTAAGCAATTCCAGCACCGCTCTTATGCAATCAACCCTACTAATTCTACAATGAGATTATAAATCAAAATTAATTACTTGTTTAACAAAAAATTGAACCAAACATTGTTTAATCATATTTTCCAAAAACTATATATATCACATACTTCCGAGTTTTAAAATCTTTCATGATCGCAAGAAAGTCTTCATATTTTTTTCTATCATTATGAAAATGATCCCTCACAGCCCTAACATATGCATATGCATCCTCTTTAGTTGGCTTCGGTTTGTTTGAATCAAATAAACGTCCTCCATCCATGGTTTACAAGTAATCGAAGCTTTATTTTCCAAACAAAGAGAGTGATTATTTAATTATTTGATTTCACTAAAAAAATTAATAATTGAATTTTTATTTCTATCATTTCAAACACATTAACTTCTTTTCTTTAAAAGTTACTTTAAATTAAAAAAAAAAAAAAACAGAATTTTGCATCACGGATCTTAATTAAAAATTACTAGAATTAAAATAAAATAAAATACATGCAATGAACCATGCAGATTGCAAAGCACGAGAACATGACAATAATCAACTATAGATTATTTAAGTCAAAGAAGAATTGTTAAAAGACTTCAAAGTAACAAACCAGAAAAAAAATCATTTAAGAAGAAACAAACCAGAAAATTGACTCTACGGGTACTTCACGAGTAGGAAATGAATAGTTTTGAGTTGTATATGTGTCTTTATATATTAATAACCTTAATGAAATCAGTCTATTTGCAATTAACAGCTTTGTAGCAATGAGATATAATTGTATTATACTAATATTAAATGAGATAAACACATGTCAGTTGTAAATAAAATTAAAATTTCACATTTATTATAATTTACAGATTTTATGTAAATTTAGTGATAAACAATTTCAATTGTAAATCTTCATAAGCATCTGTCAAAGCTTATTTACTTGAACTTTTTCGAGAGTTTAAAATCACTTTTGTTACAATGTGGCATTTACTATTACAATTATATTTTTATAAAACAACACTTTAAATTATTTAGTTGATATACATTTTCTAAAAAAATAGACAACATAAAACTCAAAAGTATTGATAGATCTGAAAATAACTGACAAGTCAGTTGTAAATAAAATTTCACATTTATTATAATTTACAGATTTTATGTAAATTTAGTGATAAACAATTTCAATTGTAAATCTTCATAAGCATCTGTTAAAGCTTATTTACTTGAACTTTTTCGAGAGTTTAAAATCACTTTTGTTACAATGTGGCATTTACTATTACATTTTTGTTTTTATAAAACAACACTTTAAATTATTTAGTTGATATACATTTTCTAAAAAAAGAGACAACATAAAACTCAAAAGTATTGATAGATCTGCAATTAATTGACATATTTATCTAAAATTTTTAGTTTCTTAGTTTTTGTAAAAATTTAATTTCTTTTTCTGGTCAACAAAAACTAGTAAATTTACTTTATAAAATGATTCGTAATAAATAATATACGACATCTTTTGGTTTAAGTTATAGGTATTTAATTTCTTTTGTGTTACGAATTTAGGATTATCAAGATTTAGTTTTAGGTAATTTAAGCAGAGCAAAGAGGTGCTCTTTTTTTTGCACATTAAAAAAAAAAGAAATAATAGACAAGACCCAAATTCTTCTGAGGTAACAAAGAAATATCAATATAGCATTTTGATGATGTTCTGTTCTCTCTTTAGATGAAGAAATCAAACTTAACTCAAATGTCTTACAAAAGAAAACTATAACACTCTCTTCTCGTTAGAAGCTCTACTCTTTTCTGTCACATTATATTCAAGCATATTTAGGCTGAGACAATTTATCACTAAAATATTCGCCAAACTCCATGATTAAATCTACATGACCCTGAAGAAGTGCAACGACCTGCAAAAGATAACAAAGAGCAGATCAAACCAAAGAACTAAGAAAGTGAAACACACAAAGTGTCGCACCAAGAACCCTACCTCATGATACGCCTCATTTTTGGACTTGTTTCCCTCAATAGTGTACATCCTAATTATCTGGAGAACTGAGTTAACTACATGACCACCATCACCCTGAAACCTTGCCTGCACATGGAAAATTTTGTTACTTAAATCACAAGTTAACATATAGGAAACATCAAAATGGTATTTCCATTAGTTTACCTCAAGATTCTCCATAAAATTGGCAGCACGGTTTTTTTTGTTATTACTAGACTCAGCACTACCACCATGCTCATCATCTGGAGGGATGGTTCTCTTACCCTTTGGAATAAAGAAGGGTAATTTATCAGATTGATAATAATAACAGATGCATATATCACAAGCTAGCAAAAGAGAATCATTCATCATTTTAGCAAATTCTATACCTTATGCTTGTTCACAGAATACTTGGGAAAGAAGACACCTAAACGAAGAAGCAGATTTGGGTGCCCTTTAATGATTTCAGCCATCATTGCACTGCCATTAGCTTCATCGATTCTACAAAAGAGAATACTAACATCAGGAAACAATTCACAATGTGTGTGGTTGTTGTGTAGATTCACAGTTGTAAAACTTGGAACAAAGAACCAAACCAAACGTAAAAAATTCGTACTTATGATCACAAACATCTTTCATGAGCTTGAGAAACTCGTCAAACTTTGCAGGTTCATCAAGAAATGCTTCCTTCACATCAGCGATGTATGTAACCGTTTCACGCATAGTTGTTCGTTCTCTTTCATGAAATGCTTTCTCCGTAGAAGCGATATTTAAACGATCAGCATCCATAGTTAGCTTTAAATTCATGCCTAGTAATTTTAATATGCCTAGTAATTTTAATAAAAATATATATGTAAGAAAAATATCAAATGCAAAATCGTGAAGGCTATATTTAATTGTTTTTTTTTTCTCTCGTCTTATGATACTTCAGTGAAATGTTTGAATACATGTTTGTTCAGGGCCTTGGTTTAAGCTATATCAAAATTATAGAAAAAATTCAACATTTCAATTGGGGAAAATGGGTTCTCTACATTCATACGCTGTTCATCGGAAAAAAAAGAGGAAAGAAAACGACGGTTAGAACTGAAGACCGTGTTCACGTGCTGCAGCAGCAAGAGCCTCAATACGTCCATGGTAAGGGTAACCACCACGGTCAAAAGCTACCTTTGTGATACCTTTCTCCAAGCAAGATTTTGCTATCACTTCCCCAACTTTCTTTGCTACCTCCTACTCAATACCAAACCGTAAAAATATCAGTAAATGTCCGACGAGAAAACAAGCTGAGTGTCAAGTCACTCGTGCTAGATGGTTACCATAGAGATTCATCTCTCTAATTGCGATTTGAATTCGAAGATGAACTTACAATGGTTGGTCCAGAGGTGTAGTCAAACTCTTCAGAGATAGGTTTCTGCTTAGTGGAAGCTGAAGCTAAGGTGTGCATCTTGGTATCATCAATCACTTGAACATAAAGATGTTTGTTTGAACGGAAAACACAGAGCCTTGGCCTCTCTGTCGTACCATTAACCTATGGGAGCATCCAGTAGCGACAGTAATGAGACAGAATACAAGAATCATGGTAACAAATAAAGACACATCAAACCGAGAAAAACGTCTCACAATAGCACCAACATCAAGAAAATCTGAGAACTGATAAATCACAAACCCATTTTCATTGTCAAATTCCATTCAATTTTAGCATAAATGTCACAATTTTCGCAGATTTCGGTAACTCAAAACCCGAATTTATTAGAACTGGTTACGAATTCGACGCAGAAGCAACATCATGACTTCAACTATCGTTACATTGTGTTCGAACTCTAAGAAACACCCAATTTCATCGCAATTCTACATTAACTACCCCAAAACTTGTCTCAAGTAACAACTAAACACTATCCTCGAGAGAAGATAGAGAAATTGGAGATGAAATCAAAAGAGAAGAAACAGTACACCTTCTTACGGATACGAGAATGGCGGGCGATTCGGTCTTCACTGCTGGTTTTGGTTTTGGCTTCAACAACCATGGACCGAGACTGAAGCGAAGAAGACGACCATGGTTTAAGGAAAACGGCACGGTGTTGAAGTCCACTTCCCAGGAACGTACTGCGGTTAGTTATCAGACTCACCGAACCACACCCACTCACGCTCGTCATTTTATCTCACTCTCTCTGGCTCGCTCTCGCTCAGTGTAAGCAAATCCTTTTTGCCTTATCCCCTTTTTCCTGTGTATATATTTGCTTTATTTCTCTTTTGGACCCTAACTTTCCTAACTTTTTCTAATTCACTGACTATTGTTCTTTAAATAAAATTTTAATCCCTATGTTAGTGTGTAAAATCTATTATTACTTCTCATTGTTCTCAAGTAGCATACAACTTAACTACAAAATAATTACTAGAAAAACTAATTTTTCCAACAAAATTTTTGGGATTTGTTTATGTTATGGCCGTAATTTGTTTATGTAGAACATTATAGATGTTTGACTTGAGTAGCTTTGGGTCGTTAACGTTAAGATACTCTACATGGTCTCCAAAGCAGTAGAATCTGCTACAATTATCTACAAAGTCGGGGACTCTACTATGATAGTTAAACACTCCATGGTATTCTCCAAAACCTTGAATTTCAACACGTTGCATAGTGTTCCTAACGGGATTGAAATAGAAAACATAAAACGGTTGTTTAGATGTATAATCAGCCATTGACAAAACAATTTCACCTGTACCAGTCACTCCAACGATGGAAATGTAATGAGCTAAGAATTTATCATCCCTCAAAGTGTAAGCATATTTCGACCATTCCTGTTTCTCCGTCCTCTAGAACCCACACACGCAATTCAATGGCATCATCAGCGTAATCATCATAATAAACCAAACCTAATTTACCATTATAGTCAAAAAAAAAAAAAAAAAGACAATTCGAAGACGCCGGCGTTGTTCATCCGTCTCCGCCGTTGGTCTCCGTCGGCGAGTTGTAAAAATTCTTGTATTTCATTCTCTTATTTGGTGAAGAAAACCCAAGAAAATCTCTTGGGCCAGTTCAAATAACTTTCAAGCCCATCAAAAGGGTCTGCAGAATTAGGAGCCTTGTTCGATGTTTTATGAATTCATTTTGTATCATTTGATGGTTTATGGTTTCATCATTTTGTTGAATAATTATGTGTCTTAATCGCCAAGAAAGTCAATGTAAAAAAAAAATTTGTACATTTTATTGATAGCAAGAACTCATATATTTTTTAAGGCGTAATGATCTTAATTATTAGAGCAACCTTCAAATATAGATCCATGTAACTCTCACTATTTTACTAGAAAGTAAATGTTAGCTTTTGGTATGTAAACTTTAAAGTATAGTTTGATACACAGTAGATAAATGATTCCCTTATCAAACCAATAGTGTTATAGACTCGTGGGCTATAAATATCTCTCTTATGTTGTTTTTGTGTGTCTTGTATCGAAAAGCTGTTTGTTATTAAGGCTTGTACATGAACTTCCAAAAGTTTGTAGAGATGGATTTGACCTTTAAAGGGGCCATGTTAGGTTGCAGAAGTGAGGCCAGCTCTCTGATCAGATGTTTGAACATGTTAGGGATGTTAATGAAGATGATGGAGAAGACAAGGCACGTTATAGGAATCATGTTGTCCCACTTTCAATTTATTAAAGTTTCACATCTTATTATCATTCATCACATTACCTCATACACTGCCTTATACGGCTGTACTCTTTTTTTTGGGGATCAATCATTGGGATTTTCCTAAGTTTAAGGGCTGTCATCAAAATTTTATTTAATTATTTTTTCGAATTTTTTTTGTAATCTTATATGTATATTTTATGAATACCAATCTTATATGAAGATTGTTGATATGTTGTTTATGATTTTTCTCCCACATCTTCTACTATTCAAGATCTGTTATTATGTAATGGCAAAACAAGTAAACAACCAAACATGTAGACATGATAGTATTGAACCAAAACATCTGCTTATCTTATCTTGGTTTGATAATTTGATTTCTTCTAAACGATAGCAATGAAACCAACCCAACACTACTGAAATTTCATTACAAATTACATTAAAATAGACATTTTGTAGCAAAATGTAACATATTTTATAGAGATAAATTTGCACATACAAATCGAAAAGTCACCTCTTTTTTTTTTTTTAATTGTCGGCAATCACCTTTTTAATCTAGTTTTGGCTCATTCATGCATTTCCCCAAAAGAAAAAGAAAAAACGAACGTAAAAACTATTGGTCCCCTTGAGTTAAAAACTTAAAAACAGAATTGGTCCACTTGAGTTAAAAACTTAAAATTAATTGTCTTTGGGGTTACTTATAAAATTCCAAAAGATTTGGCAATCAATGAGCTCAAGTCTAGTGTCTGAAATGCTATTGGATAAGAGAGTGTGGATAACATTATCCCCCATGAGACTTAGAAATCCGTTACTTAGATAATCCAAAATTTTATAAGCTACATCTTTTAACGAATTATTTCATTGTTATACCACTAGTTATATTTATTTCTTATTAAACCATTATGGTTACAATTTCAACGTGATTAGTTAAGTATTTATTCTATGGCTTCGTAAACCGCTTAAATAAACAAAACTATACAAATGAAACCGCAATTAAAGGCCAACAACATGTAAAGACTTCATTCATTTGTTCCAAACCAAAAAGAAAAATCTCACCGTGAAATTAGATAGATCATCACAGGGATTAATAACATCCGAATCCAAACTAGTCATCGGATAAAAATTCACTAAAGTTCTAAATTTAAAAAAGCCACGACCACATAAAGATAAGGAGAAATATGAGAGACATGGCGGGCTTATACAAGCTATACACATAAAAAAAGAGAAAAGAAAAGAGACATTTCGGATTCCTTTGTTCACGTAATTACGTGAAAGAGGACACTTTCTCATTCTAATCAAGAAGAGAGATTGTTAGAAGAGTTTGACTTGTCAAGAATTGACCACATGACGAGGACATCTTCATAACCACAAGCCATGACATCACCTTGAAGCTCCTGCACGGTTCGTCTCTCATGTTCTTCTCTCGCCTTTGCGTTTGCGTGGCGGTTGTGCGGTGATTGCTGCGGGTTGTTAAAGAACGTTGCCGCTTTCTTGAATGGTGTTGCGATTGTTTTCTTCCATGAAGCCATTTTTATGCTTTTTTTTTTGTTTTGTTTAGAACTTAAGAATTCTTCTTGAAAATGCTTCTCTTTTGGAGTTGGATTGAAGAGGCTTCTATGTATTTATACACCACATGTGAACACAAAAACGATCTTTCTCATTTTTTAATATTTTCTTAAGGAATTGTTATTATAAAATGAAATTTCAAAAGTAAATAATATTGGAGAAAGGGAGAGAGAGAGTGGTCAAGAGAGGCAAGATCCGCGATAAGAGCATTCTCATGAACCCATCAATTCGTTTTCTTATCCTCCCACGTGATCTCTTTTGTTCACACACACTTACAACAATTTTACCACTTCTCTCTCCTTTTTACATTTTCAAAATAGTAGTTCAACCGGTTATAATAAATGTAGAGAACTACTACATATTTACAATTTACTGATCAAGGTACAGTTTACGACTTTACGTAGTAGGTAGTAAGTAAATTTATGTGGAGACTAGTAGTTTTAAATTCCATGGTCATTGATGTATTGGCCAGAGTTGAATTTATTGAACTATTTACACCCTTTACTTACATGATGGCTATAATATATATTCCATGAATTAGTGTATGCTTTGTTTCATGATCTTTGGTTATTGAAAAATGTTATCATGTTAATGTCATAAGTTAGAAAAATGTACTAGTGTTAATAAGAGTGTTATAATGGCTATATCATGGTATAATCAGTTCGAGTTTTCGGTTCTTGTCTATTCCAACGAGTTTCGAGGGTCTCTCGTGTGTGTCGGTTTCATCGGTTACGAAGATTTCAGTTGGGAGATTATATTTGATTCTTGTTATGATACATATTTTTCCATTAGCTTCCCATTCTAATCCTAGAGAAACTATAAGAAAAAAACTCACCTAAGAAAGTAGAGAACCAAAGCTATAAACTATATCAAGTCAAATTTGGTTCTTTTAGTACTAATGGCTAGCTCAATAAAACTAAAATAAACAGATCTTTGACTAACTTCTTATGGTTTTATATAGAAACAATACTACACATTCCAAACTAATTTCTAGAAACTAAACAAAAAAACGATTTGTGACCATAAACTTGAAGATATTTTTGAAATCTCCATGGTAGATATTTTTTGAAGCACATTGGTAGTTATGATATGAATAAGCACATGACACATGACAATGATAAGAAAAAGTCAAGAATTTGCCTTTCCGGTTCTAATTACTGACGACAAACACCAAACACTTACATCTACCTTTCTACTGGGGTCTCACTTTCTATTTTTGTTTTTTTACCCAAATCACCTTTTTCTTCATCGATCTTTGTGCTATTTCTAGATATTTTTCTCATATGCTCAATCTTTCACACAAATGCCGACACATGTACCTACGTACAAATATAGTCAAATGTGTAATGAAGATTTCATATGATTATCAAAACCACATATGATTGATATCTACCGTTAGGACTTAGGACTTGGGAAATTGCCAATGTGTGAAGTTTACGGATATCTAAGTTGCTTAGTTTATTATAGTTCTTGTTTCACTATTCATAGTATACGGGTTGAGATTCAACATGTCCTATTCGCATCCATTTTTGAAGATCTTGAACTCATTCCGAATACATCACTTCCATTTTTTAAACGACGACATTTCTAAACTCACCAAAACATCAACATGATTGCTTTCGGCCGAAAACTCAATCACTTCTACTTCCTTCCAATTGTCGACTCTTCATTTTATCTTATTTCGATTTGAACGTTATAAAATATTTGAGCGGACAAATTCTAATTTATCTTCCGGAGAACCAATATGGCCATAGTGTCTCAAGAACCTCTACACGTACCCAGAGCCGTCCCTAGCCTTTTGGTGGCCACAAGCAAAAATAATTTTTGGACCAACTAATTATTGAGTTATCAAAAAAAAAATTAAAAATTAAAAATGTCCTTGACAGAAGTCGAACCGTGAACCTCATCTTTCAAAATCAACACGCATTAACCACTAGAGCTGACGACTTTCATAATCAAAAAGCGGCCGTTTTTATTAATAAACCTTTAAGCGGCCGCAAGCTGGTGCTTGGCTCGCTTGTAGTCATGGCCGGCTCTGCACGTACCCGAAAACCGAGCTAAACCGAATCTCATTTCAACAAGAAATTAAGTTAAATTTGTTCCCAACGGGCAACGGTCATGCTACCTATCCAAACTCGCTAAAAATCGGCACTCTCACTCTCATACTTCACAAAAGTAACCGTCTAGTAAATTTTCAAGAGTTTGGTCCAAACAATTAAGAACAAAAGAATGTAAAAAATACTTAGTAAAACTGTTAACAACCAAAAAGCTATAAACAAAATTCTAAAAATAGTAAGACGATGCAAATTGACAAATTGTTAGGTGATAAAAATGTTGTAGCCAGAGATAGGTAAACGTGAATTATTTTACACAACCAATGGATTAGAAGTTTGAGGTGGGCAGAGTAATGCGCAGAGAATCCCATGTGATCTCCACATGTCTTTCTCTTTTTTCCTTCTCTCCTTATTTACTCTTTTTCTCTCTTTTTTTCCTCCAATAAAATGATTTTCTATGATTTAAAATTTTTATTGAAACTTTTATTTTGTCAATCAATGATTTTCTATGATTATATCTTGACATATGTAAGTCAAGATAACATATTCTAGTTTTCATTTGTAGCATGTGGAACGGTATAATTAATTTACGAAGCGCATTAGAAAAGTTATACAGTATTTGACAAAATAATTTTCTTTCATGTAATGATTTAGTTATTGTATTTAAACATTACTTTTATATGATTCGTCATACCACTAGTTCACCAATCAAGACATCTTTTACATTAAAAAAAAACTTGAATGTATTTAACGATATTAAATGTTTCAACTGAGTAGAGAATAATTTTGAACATAATATGTAGTCTATTCTTGTTTTTTTGATAAATACTATTGGGATATTAGGTGTATTATCATATTGAAGATGTCACTTGAAGAAAAATGTTTTATAGTTATTATCTTTTTACAAATACATATACAAAAAGGATTCAATTACATGTAAAATACATAACTAGACATGTTTTGTAGTAAAACCTTTTGATTTTAGAAATCGTCTTTTGACTTTTGCAGCTTAATTCTGCGTGATTTAAAAATTGACTCTTGGTTATTCCTGTTATTTTAATCGTATTCACACAACAGAATGTATATATGTCACAGTCTATCCGTTTCAAATTATTTATCGTTTTAAAAATTAAATTTGTTGGTGTTTAAAGGAGTTAGTTCGTTTCTCTAAACTAGTTTCATCTTGAATTTCTTCAAAATTGTGATGTAATGAATACTTAACATATCTAATATCATGAAAAAAGTAATTATTTTTTTTTATTAATTATCATTTATATTTTTAATGTAAATTTTTCTGTATGAAATTTAATTAAAGCGATGAAGTCGCGGTCGAAAGACTAAATGACGTTGAATAGGGTTTCATAGCCGAGGTTCTCGCCGGCACGAGAAGAGCGAGCTGAATTTGCTCAACGGCAAGAAGAAAAGGTAAACTGGTTTTGTCGTCAGGCGGAATTGGAAATAAAAAGTTGAGAAAGCATCGGTAACCACTGTTCCATGGAGAAGGGATCATAATATAACATGATGATTATTTTAAGAGGTTTTAATATACGTAAAAAAATTAAACGATAACTAATTTGAAATGGAGAATATTATATTTTTATAAAACTACACCAAAACAAATTAACAAGATTCCTGTTCGTATGTGTGAGGCACGTTTATGGAAAACGTACGTACGTTTATGTAAAATTTAAGTAGAAGGGATCCAGAGAGTGCTAATTAACATTAGCGTAATTTAAAGGTACATGTAATGGAATCTTAATCATGATTTCAAATTTTCAATATTAAAATTTAAAAGTATAACAAGACCAAAAACATATATACATGATCAAAGGAATCGTGACAGTGCATGCATTTTCTTCTCTTTATAACATAAACTCATCATAACTGTTATTAATTAGTTGGTTTGTGACCAAAACCTTAATAACGTTACTATTAGTAGATAGATTTTTATCTATTATAAGGAGTTAAATTGGATGCAACGAAAATTAAATCGTACAATACACATGCATTAGCGTTTATTCAGCTATAACCAAAAAGTATTATCAACCATCCGGATCATAATACACCGTTATAGATCCCCAATTTCTCCTATGTTTAATTTAATGAGCCAAAATTTTAATAGGATCAACTCCTAATCTCAATTAGTTAATAACTCAACCCTTTATCAAAAAATTTATAGCAATATTCCACATGACAGAGCCAACGGACTAATTTTGAGTCAAAGAATTTATTATTTCAGTTGGTTTCAAAATATTATAGAGTTATATATTCTCTTATATATATGTTGAACATGATTAGGTTCGTAGTTCTTTCATTACACATTTGGAGGTACCCTCGACCTTGAGACACGGTGAATTTAATTAATTATTTGCTTGCAACTTACAAGTAGTTAATGCTTTATGTTTATATATTTTGTTATTGGTTATCTCTTGCAGAAGTCATATATAAATAAGTTAAATAAATTCATCAAAATATATTGCCTGCAATGTAAGGAATTTGAATCCGTATGATTAGGAATTTAGGATGGTTACTATCAATTCATTATGTCTAACTCTAACCAATGTGACATTAATAACAATCACGTATTCGTTCAGTTTTTTATTTATCTTCTTTTCAGCAACATAAATATACAGATTTGAACCGGGTGATAATAACACAATAAGTCAACATGATTACTAAAATAAACTACTATTCCCTCTATTTCATACTATAAGATGTTTTAAACAATTTTGTTTCGCTATATAAAATGTTTAAGAAAAATAAAATTTATATGCAAAAGTTAAATATTAAATTATGTTTTTGATGTATTTTTCGATAATTTTTAAATATTAAAAAAAGGGAATTTTGCCAAATGTACCACATTTTGGGAAAATCCTAGCAAATGTACCACATTTGAAATGAATTTAGCATCCATACCACATTTGGTGTTTGTGTGGCAACTCTTGGACGATTTTGCCCTTCTCTGTGCGTCAGGT